ATTTGTGCATTCAGAAGTTCAACCTTACCTCAAAAACTTTAAGGTGAATAAAGTAAATGTGATTTTTTAGATTTTATGTCTGATTTATAAACCACCCTTTCTCATCAGAGCCTCCGCCTGGTTTTCAGTGATGTTTGCCATGTTTTTTTAATTTTTATTTATTTATATTTTTACCATMTCTTGTCTGGCAGTGTGGAACTCAGAACTGTTGAGTGTCAAGTGGAGCATCATGGCTTTCTCAGTGATGCTCCGTTTGATATATATTTCAACTTTATTAGAAATTGTTGTGAGGTTATTTCAATGTAATAGACACATTCCTTTGGGGTTTTCTAACAATGTCATCCAGGGTTGGCTTTGTGGCACAGTAAAGTGTTGTAAATCAGCTCTAAGTCTGACAATTTACATAAAGTGAGACTGAGATGCTTGATGCTTTCTTAAATGTAATTCTAAAAGGTTTGATAAATATGGGCCCAGTTCTCCTGCCTGAATATATAGCAAACAAAAATTGTTTGAAATGGTCACTGTGTAGTGTTTATTTACTTCTCACAAAAATCTGTCTAATGTTAAAAAAAAAACAAAATAAAAATGGTACTGCTCTTTGAGCTTRTCCAACTCATTCCTCTGATGCAAAAGTTCTCTGACCTTAGCTTTCTGTACTGATAAAAAAAAGGATTGAAACATTATAAACATATGATTCAAAGCAGTGATTTCCATTCTGTATGTCTGTGATTGTACAGTGATTGTACATTACATTTAAACACTTTATAAAAAGCAATAATGCTGAATGTCTCTTAGTAAACATACCTTCATTGTCTCTCTGCAAGTTCCTCACCTCCACCTTCAGTTCAGCCAACGAGGAGCTCATCTCTCTCAGCACAGCATTGATGTCTTGTGGACATGTTTGTTGGTGCTCAACGGGATTTCCTGCATCTCCTACCTGTGATTCAGTTTGTTTCAAACATGTACTATCTTTACTGCCAGAATCTGTTTGAAGCTGAGCTGTGAAAACAGAGCAGATTAGCAGCATCAAGGGAAAAACCAC